AGGCTTTGGCCATGAGGTTTTGTTTAGAATCAGAAGCCTTGGATAACATATCAGTCCCTGCTTCTTCATTTTTTCCTAAAGTTTCATCATCTGATTCATACTCATTCAAAGAGACTTTAGCTTGCTTTTCTAGATTTGAATGGACCTAAGACTTCTCACTAGATTGATAATCCTCTTTCTCTTCCTCCCACAAAGGTTCTAAAACCATCTTAACTTGAGCCCACAGAGTCAAGTCTCCAAAGGGATTTTCTCCCCATCTCTGTATGCTTTCTTTAAGTTTACAATGACATCTTCCCAGGTCTCTAGATCGAAGGTGCCTTTCTCTGGGAACTATGGAGTATACATTTTACAACTTTTAGAAAACATTGCATCTTTATCTTTGATACTTTTACACCCTTTCTTTTCAGTTAGTGGATGAGCATAATGCCATAAGTTTTAGATTTACTTTTACCTTGCCCCATTGTCTTCTTTAATATACTCATTTACTACTTCCACTACTTATCTGCTAATCCCCACACTGGATGCTCACATTACACAATTTTCTGATTCACTTTACATTCCGGTGGAGCCGTACAATTGTTGTATGGGGTACAACTCAAAAGAGTTCTTTTCCTATTGCCATGCAATGGACACCATTTGTGGGGGGTGCCAGTCCCCCACAAGAAATCATGGGTTCAGTAAGCTCAATTGTACAGTTGAGATATATAAATATTATACTAATGTCATAGAGAATAATAGGAGAGAGTAAAATAAAGAAGTCAGACACATTTCATGGTAGCATGCTCACCTCAGCTCCGCTTGGTGGTCCACGTGGAGAGGTGGGAGGTGGGAATTGCAGGAGCGAACGAGAGAGATTTATTACCACATGTGATCCTTCCTTTCCTCCAATTTCTCCCATGTGTAATGGAAATGCCTACCTTGTGCCTGTTCCACTGCTGGTTTTTGGAAGCAGATAGCATGTATTCGAGATTCCATATGTTCACAGCTGAACAGGTATTTTTTGCCACAGGATGGAGTTTGGATATGGATTAATTTTAGATTTCTGGGATGACGTGATGAGGTAAATGTGTTTTGCATTTGACAAATACATTCATTTTAGGTGGCCAAAGACAGAATATTAGGTAATCAATATGTCCCCCAAAGTATGTGTTGTAAATCCTGAATGTCTTTGATTATGACCCTATTTGGGAATGGGTTCTTCTGTTACATTAATGAGACAAAGAGTGTAAGGTATGTCTACAAGCAAGCAAGTTTAACAGCCTATTCTTCAGAGATGATACACTGAGTTAGACTTCTAGCCTTCAAATTTTGAGAAAGTATATTCATGTAAAAGTTACTCATGGTATTTTGGTTATAGCAACATTAGATAACTAAGGCAATCACTTCAAAGTAAATCACTTAACGTAAAAGATAATCACTTAAAGTAAAGAGACAGCAGTTTCTTGTCTGGGACACGGTTATTCTTGATAGCAATATCTCACATTTGTGCTGCTCTTTCTCAGGCAAATAATTCATAGGAAAAACTACATCTCCACTTCCATTGCACGTTCTCTCTGAATGTCCCTGTATGAATTAATCTTAACATCTGTACATAAAAGAACTTTAGTAAGATAAGAGGGAAAATTAAGAGTGAAGTGAAGAGTTATTCATCGTGGAAAGAGTTCTGCTTTGGGGTAGGGGGTTAAAAATACATCTTTTCTTCTGGGCTAGCTCTGAGCAAAATCTATGATGGTTCTCTTTCCCTTGACACTTTATGAGTTGTTCAGTCTGGGAAAAACTGAAGTCACACCTGGAGACATCTCCTTGGAACCTAAAAAGCAATTGTCCTCGAAGGGATATCAGAGATCAAACCACATCTTCCTCCTTCATTATCATAATGACCTTAATCAAAATCACCATGCCCTTCATCACCATAAGCTTTGCAGTATCAGCGTGTGGCAGTTACATAATCTCCTGTCAACTTTCGAAGGGGTGGAGTCGAGCCTGTCAATCAGGTCGTAGATTGACAGATGACCTCATTTGCAGGCACGAAGGAGATAAATAGCTCACTGGAGGCTAGATGAACTCTCTCTGCTTCATATTCCTGTTGACAAGCCACATGAGCTAAGCTGATGGAGCCAGGGCCCCTGGGGTTGGAGGACCCATGTGGAGACCCACACCAATGTTGAGATGCTTCCACTGCCACTGGATCCAGAAAACCTTGTACCTACTAGCCTGTGATCTTCCTGCATTTGGCATCATTGCATGAGCTGTATTAGTCTAATGAAGAATTTATGGATTAGTATCGGACATATAGGCTAATAGTGGACTTATGCACTTGATCTGGACTGGTTTGGGATGTGTTCTCAATATATAATTGCTCTTTTATAGAAAAAATTTTGTTATACACATATGAGGGTCACGATTTGTTTCTCTAGTCTATCTGGACTAGAGATAGACACCATAATCATCATCATTGCTGCTGCCCTGCCCTGTGTGTCCATCACTTTATTCATCTCTGCCTGACAGATTAAACATACTCATTTTTTATATGGGAAAACAAAAGTTCAGTTCCATAATAATTCTCCTGTGAGACAAAAATTGAGGCAAGAATAAGCGCCAGCTCCCAGTGTCCTGCTGGTAGTCGGGTATTGGAGAGGTTTTCCATGAGAATGGTGAGATGGAAGTAGGGAAATCAGAGGAAACAGGAAAGGCAAAATTAAAAAACAAACAAACCAGCATTGAGGTTTGAAGGAGATGAGACTCAGACTAGGTCTCTTTAAACCATGGGGAAAGCAGGGCACAATCTTCTGAGCATAGCACTCTATCTGAGGGTAACTGAAGGAATTCCCTTTTAATATACAGTCCAAGGGCAAAGGGGGCACAGGAATTGGGCTGATGAATGCTTGTTATCGTTTTTTGTTGTTTTAAGGTAGTAGGTTTAAGCTAGAAGGTTGATTTTTATATCAGTAATTTGCAGGATAATGCCGACAAAGAGAAATGGATATGGGATCAACAGCAGCTGCACTGTTTGGAAGGGTGGCATCTCTCTTTTCTCATCTCTGAATCATATGCAGCAACCTTTCCTGAGGTATGAATCATCCATTTGAGGGAGGAGAGGGTAGAAAATGAAATAAAATTTATGCTTTGCTAATTAAAATCAAATACAAAATTCAATCTCCCATGAGTTACAATGCTCACTTTTATATAGAGCAGAAATATTACTAACCTTACTCCATTTTAGCACATTGACATAGATTTTTCTGGATAGAAAATAATTCCTTTGTCAAGTTTTCTCACTGAAGAAGGGGACACGGCTTAGTGGCTCACTGGCAGAATTGCAAGGATCAAGCTAGTGATGATATTGCAGAAAATAGAACTTAAACATGTTAAGTTTGCATTTCTTTTTAGAACCAAGAGAGTTCAACCATATCACCAAACAGACACTTAAAAAGAAATGTGCTTAAGATTGCAAGGCTTAGACTTCTGCTCTTTTTCGACAGAGACTTTCACTCTACTTCTATATGCAAGGGTCTATCCATTATTTAAGGGGAGTTCATCACTTTTACTTCCAAGATGAAAAGAATAGGTTAACCATTTAGCAAACCATATTTTAAAATAAAATTACTTGTCCTATTGATGTGACTTCTAGTCTGTTTCTCAGGACACAGACTTACTAGTTATCATTTGAATCAGAACGTAAGGTCTTGGTGTTCTGTTTCTTAGCAGATAGCCTCGGACATGGAAAATGTGACCAAATGGTTGAGGACAGTTATGTCCACTCAGGATGGCAGCGTGTAATTGGAATAGTCATGCTTAGGAGGGAGAAACTATCTTTAACATTTTTCTACCCTGAAATGTTCCTTTGGGTCATGAAGTTATCATGACACTCCTTCACTAGTGGTCATTGAAATACAAAGAGGACCACGTAGCTCCAAGGAGGAAAACAAGGCTGGAAATATCCTCCCTTTTGGGGAACTTCCACAAAAGCAGATGGAAGCAAGAGGATTAGAAGGCACTGTGTATGTATAGTGCATTATATGCATGTGTGTGTGGTTTGATGCATATCTTCCTTCACTCTGGTAGTGAAGCTGTTGCTCTTGCACTGAGCTCAACGACAACTCTCTTAGCCAGAAGCAGTTTCTGTTTATCAGGTTGCCCCTCAACCTGCCCCATAACTTTATTCCTTGTACGGTTTCAAGATGCTTTCTGCCCTGTAGACTTTTGGCTCAGAGGGTCTTTAACGTTGGCCCTTTGGGCCATCCCAGAAAGTGTACCCCCAGCAACAGAGATGAGGGTGAGGTGGAGGTGACCGACATAAACACACCACTGGAATCCATTAATCAGGTTGCATTAAGCTTTATAACAACACAATTTTCATTTAGCAGGAGAAATGACAGTTTAATAACAGCTGAACAAATTTAACTCCCCCACTCATACATATTTCCAATTTTACTAGAACAATTCCTCGTTTTGGAGATCTGTGAACAAGTGCTTTATGTCAAATGCTGCATTTTCATCTGTTTCTAATCAAAGTAATGGGAAGGGACATTCTTTGGCAGCCCTTGAGAGCAGTGTCTGCAGAAAGTTCTTGTCTGGCCCACAATCTTCACAACCTAGACCTGACAAATGGAGTCAGCCTTCTTGCTGTGTCCCCCATAGTTGGCATCTCAGAATAGGGCAAATGTAGCATGAGATGGCCATGAAAGGTATGGGTGAGGCCATTGGGAGGGCTTGCACAATGGTAACTTCTCCCCTCCCCATTGTGTTGCTAAGGATTACTCAGGTCAAGAAACATGCCAAATCCCTGGTCCTTGTCCCTCTCTGGGGACCCTAAGGT